TGGTTGGGGACCCCTGCCGTATAAGAACTGTCCATTCACTTTAGTCTGTTTCCATCTTTTTTTTTTCTCCCAGTCTAAGGGTGTCACTTGTTTCCAACTTGCTCTACTGTCCTTCCTGGGAATCCAGAAGTTCCACCTCTCTGTCTCCCTTCCAACCTGCTCATTCCCTCCGGCTTTTTTTCTAGAAAGTTCCACCTTCCAAAAACATGTCTTTCTATTCCCAGATGATGGTGAATCTTTGCCCATGTGTGGTTTCTCCCCGGGAGAAGAAGCAGTAAATGACTATGAAAAGTATCCCTGGTTTGCAAGGATCGTCATCAATGTAAGACCAACTAGCACCCAGGATCGATAAATAATTTTATTCAGGCCATACGACCAGCAGGAAAAGCATTTTTAACCAAAATCCAGCCAATCCAGTAAAGATAACCATAAAATGTGACCAGAGAAAATATCAAAAGAGAAATCTGTCTTCCAACCATGGAATGAGACAAGTTTCCTAGACCATTTCATTTTTGGGATGGATACCCAAAATGAAATATTCCAAACTTCCAATAAAGGAGACTATTTGTAGCTCGGGGTTCAAATAAGGGGTCTTTGGTACTCTCTGAGTTTGCTTGTTTTCTTGCAGATGTCTCATTACTTTAACCAGATAATATCATCACTAGCATTGATGACATTACCTAGTTAGGATAATGAAACTTCTGCAAGGAGACTATCATGCCCCTTTCGGAATCTGATTCGAAGGGGGAAGCCAAACAGCTGACAGGGAGTGGGAGTGTGACTCCATTGGCTGTGGAAGAAATTGGGTTAGGGCAAAATCCGGCTGGGCAAAGCAGGGGAGAGGTAGAGCAAGGGAGAGGGAATTCAGAGGAAGACCCAGGCCCACCCCCCTCTTCATCCTAGGTCATGCAGGGAGGAACGGAGAAGGGAGCAACATGAGTTGCATGGCTTATGGGGGAGGAAAGGGCCCTGATTCCCTTCATTAGCTGCAGCTGGGAACACAGTATTTAAAAAAGGAAGCTGTGCGCAGCAAGCTGTGGGGAGCAAACGTGAATTTATCTTGTAGCGGCTTATCTGTGTTCATGGTGTCTTCCCAACTGTCTGAGTTTTGCCATGCTTTCTAGTCTGAAATTCCTTCTCCTGCCCTGTCAGGGGGTGGGCCCTGTCAAGTTAATTGCTGCAGCTTGATTTGTTTGGATTTTTAGTTACAGTTTGTATGTATTTTGTTTTGGATTGAATTTCCTCCAGTTAAAGGCTGTTCCTGGGAGAGTTTTTCTCCAGCTGAAAGTAACCTGGATATTGGGGGAAAAGTTGGAGATAATAAAGGGACTCTTCTTGCTTATTTGACTGTGTTGCCTTTGTGCCACATCCCGGGTCATTACAAAAACAACCAAGCTCAGAGAGCACCAAGGACCCCTTAATCTGTATTTCAAATGCAGAATTTTGCACATAACTGTATAGCAACAAAATGTCTGGCAGAATTCACTTCGTTAATGCTTTACCAAGGCAAAATGATATTGTGTCATGTCTAAGAAGGAGCCCTTTAGTAAAAATGTCATTTTATGGGATCTGGTTTGCTTTCCTTAACTGTCTTTGTTGCTTTCTGTGAGTGTGAGGTTGGTTCTAAGGTACAACTCTGTGTTTTTCAAATGTGGCAACTTGAAGATGAGTGGACTTCAACTCCCAGAATTCCCCAGCCAACATGGCTGGGCTGGGGAATTCTGGGAGTTGAAGTCCACATATCTTCAAGTTGTTGAAGTCAAGAAGCATTGTTTTGAGGGAAGACTGCTGCTGCTCTCTGTGATCCCAAGATGATTTTCATGTCTAAATTTTAGGAACTGCAGCAAGAAATCTGCAAGGGAGTCATTGTCTCTGACCAGGACATCTTGACAGCAGCCCACTGCTTGGCTGGGGTTAATGGGATTGAAGATATCAGCGTCATCCTTGGTAAGCCAAATTCTCGTGAGGGCATGGAGATGGAAAGAACGGGTGGATTTCTAACTGGTGAAAAAAGATTCGACTGCTTTGTTCTTCTGCCATTAACAGACCCTCAGTCTGCAGCCCTGTACCGGGCCCGTGGCCCATTGGGAAGCGGGCCGCACAATCTGCGGTCAAGCGCATGAGCGTGCAAATCTGCACTTGTGCAAGCAGCCTCCATGCACGCAAAGCCATCCTGTCAGCCAGCCTGTTGCTGGCTGCCGTAGAATGGGGGGAGGGAATTAAGGGAAAGATTACATTGCAGCTTTGCAACTTCTGTTAACTCCCAGGCCAAGTCCGTTAGCTCTGGTATGCGGTTGCCTAGCTACAAGGGGGTTGGGCCAGTGGTGGGATTCAATTTTTTTTGACTACTGGTTCTGTGGGCGTGGCTAGGGGGCGTGGCCAGGTAACTTGGTGGGCGTGGTTTTTTGTTTTGCTTTTTGCAGCAGCACCCTCCCCATATTTTGGGCCTTCTGGGCCTCAGAGAAGCCTCCTGAAGGGGCCTGGTTCTTTGCTCCCCAAAGGCTTCCCTTGGGCTCAGAAAGGCAGAAAATGAAGCGTAAGAGGGGGGGGCTCCATTTTTCGTCTCCCTGGGCCTCAGGGAAGCCTCCTGGGCAAAGCAGTAAGTAAGCAAGGGGAATCCCGGCACAAATGATCTTAGGAACAGCTGATTGTCGGGAAGGGGAAAAAATACCTTAAGGAGTGACTGGGCGGGCGAGCGCCAGGCGGGTGGGACAGGGTGAGTGAGCATCAGTAGGTGGGGCAAGTGAGCGAGCGGTGACCAGGCGACCAGATCGGGGGCGTGGCCAGCCAGAAGGTACTACCGGTTCGGCAACCCATGCCAAATCCTTGCTACCGGTTCGGTAGAACCGGTGCAAATCGGCTGAATCCCACCACTGGGTTGGGCTGTATACTGTGTTTGAAGTTGAGGTACTCGTGCAGTTTCCCTCATAGCTTGCTTGAAACCATTTGCTGTCAGTTTGTTCCTAGTTAAAAAAAAAAAAAATTAACTCCATAGATTTAGAGAAAAATACACCCTCCACTGTCAACGGTGTTGCTGGTTCGTAGAGCCGGAAAGATTGGGGACCGCTAATTTAACATTTCTGTGGGTCCATTATTATAATGGCCTCCATCATCTGTGAAGGTTTTCAGGAAGTTCACTTTTTTTCTCTCTCTCTCTCTCTCTCTCTCTCTTCTTTAGGAACCACCAATTTTGCAGTAGCTGAAATCCGACTCCACCCAGAATACAATAGTCAGAAAGTAAAAAATAAGCGCACCCCGGAGTTCTACGATTATGATGTTGCTCTGATCAAACTCAAAGAAAAGCAGCTTCCATCTTTTGCAAGGTGAGCTGAAAGGAGACTGAAGGTCGGAGAATGATGTAAAGGTTAGGTCCGTTATCAGATGATGTCTCTTGAGTGGCACGGTTGGCCTAGAGGTGGAGCTCTTGCCTCACAAATCAAGAGGCTGTAAGTTCGATCCTAGGTAGAGGCAGATATTTCTCTCTCTGAGTACAATGAGAATATATTTGCTGACTATAACTCTGTATTGGCGACAGGAAGGGCATCCGGCCAGTAAACACTCAGCTCCATTCAGTTGCCCTGACTCCACCCCACAAGGGATTACGGGGTCATTAAATGACCAACAACAACAACATCAGATGATGTCTCTTTGATTTGCTAATTAAAAAACTGTAGGGGGGCTGAAAAACAGTGTATCTGTGTTCCCTAAGGCAAAAGGTATGGAGTAAAAAGGGTGAGAATATGGTTAATACTCTAGAAATAATATGATTCCAGGAAGGATGTACTTGGAAAACAATGGGAGACGAGTGTGCAAGACATTCTGGTTCTAACATGTTCAAAATGTTCTGGAACAAAACATTCTAAGCTATAGAGTTTTGGTCTGAATTCGAACAAAATAAAGGAGTTGATTCCACATAGTTTCTATCACTTTGCCATCAACGTCTCAAAACAAGCCTGCATTCTTTTCATTTGCTGCCAATTGGTTATGAGAATTTCATGGTTTTAATTAAAAATACTACACTTTGGCCAATATTTCTGGAGGCTGGGTGGTAGACATCACCTAGTATGGTCTATACTAGAGGTAGTGTATCTGTCCTTGAAGCTGTCTTCAACTTCTGGGTATTAAGTGTTGAATAGCATCAACTAGGTTATTCATCTGGATCAATTCTGTAGGTGGGGAGTGCAATGGTTTACATGTTTAGGATGCAGGGCTGACGATCAGCGGACTCATGTTTGAGACCCCGTGGTGGCCTAAGCTCCGGTCACTTGCTCCAGCTCCTTCTAACCCAACAGTTTGAAAGCAGGCAATCATGAGTCGATAGATGAGTACACTTCAGGGACATGAAAGGAGCTACTGGAGATATGGGCAACATTGAGGTCACCAGTTGATCCTTTCACCATGGTAGTGCTTCTGACACAGAAGTACAATATGGTTCTTTGCATTGGGAGTGGGTGGCACAGAATTGGCCCAGTTTCCTTCCTTCTTGCAGGGCCAGTACCATCAGTGCTGCTTGGGAGTGAGCGGTATCCCGGTGGCCCCTCTATGTGGGGTGCTGCTGCAGGATGAGTAGAGTAGAGTAGAGTAGAGTAGAGTAGAGTAGAGTAGAGTAGAG